AATGTCCTTTGTCTCCTCTTACAATTTGCATATATATATATACATATATATATATATATATATATGTATATATATATATCTATCAGGCCACAGTGTCAATACATCCAATAAAGTCAAACGCCTTTAATATTATTTTCCCTCATCCAGTGGTAGATAGTATAGTAATACTATTGTCCTTCCTTGAAAGCATTCTACCCTCCTTTAACTGACTACTATGATGGTGTTTGTGCTGACCATCCTCTGTTGAGGAATCTACATCTCTTCTAGAGGCTTGGGACAAGTCCCCCATCTCCTGGCTAGGGAAAAGAGTGGCAATCAAAATCACATAGCTTTCAAAGGTACTTTATTACTTTAGAGTTCTCCCTACCTTTGTTTTAAGATTTCACCAACATCAGATAGTTTGGTTTGTTTGGGGCAACAATAAATCAAGACTTAATCATGCAATCCGTACCTGGAACAAGCAAACCAGAGATTTAGGTCTCCCAAACTTTGCCAGATATTACCAAGCTGCACAGTTATCCCAGCTGCACACAAGCACAGAGTCACCCCTCTGGGTAACGTTAGAGGCTTTTCAATGCAATCTTATCCAAGTTGATAACTTGCCTTGGCTAAGCCCTGCTGATAGGCCATGTATATCCAAACCAATCGTGAAACTTACCCTAAGATGCAGTTAGGTACTCTGGAGACTTGCAATCAGCCAGTAGACCTGTATTGGCTACCGTGTACAACCCAGCCTTCCCCACAGCTTCCCATTCCGCTTTTAGTTTTAAAAAATGAACCAAACGGAGTGCCACGAAAACATACAAACTGATCTTAGGCAGAAGTGTTAAGTCGCTCCGGTCTCTGCAAATAGAACTACACCTGTCAAGTTCAGAACTTTTCCAGTATCGCCAAATTAAGCATTTCCTTGAGAAAAGTGTGGCACTCTCTGATGGCCCTCTTATAATTCCCCTTGCCCTCTTCTAACTACCTCTGACTGGTGCTGTGAGCATGATGATCCTGCCCTTTACACCCCTTCCTCACCTGATCCCTTCCCTCCGACTCCAGTCCTTCCCCCTTCTTCTTCCTCGCCTTTCTTTATACTTGTTACCACTTAGTTTGACTGTCTGAGTAGCCATGACAGTCTCAGCAAGTTATTCTATCTTTTGATGTACAATGGTTACCTTTGCATGTTCATACGTTATCATCATTTGCATTGACCACACGGTTCTTTTCGGGAGTAACACTACAAATTTGCAACCTTTGTTATCTATATACACATGTTGTGTATGTTTTGAAACTTCTCAATAAGAACTACTGAACATAAAATGTATGATGATTCACTGTTTACTTATTTAGTCTGCACATGACTATATAATTAACTGCTACCTGGCTGGCCATTGTAATTAAACGGCCGGCCAGGAACTTCTTGAATGTGAGTGGGTGTTTTTAAACATGCTCGCCCACCCCGTTTGTGCTCGCAGCTGGGCGGCGCACGCAAGCGAGAATACTGCTTAAATTGTAAACAGCCATCGATGGCTGTTTACATACAAGTGTTCTGGTGGCTGTATAGCAACCCAATTACTTGTATTATGCATGTGGGTGTGTGCCCCCCCCCCCACTCCGCTGTGGCTGGTGTGGGCCCGGGACTCTGTGGGCCCGGCTCTGTCACCGGAGATCGGAGGGAGATCATCAAGTGATGAGTAGTGATATATAGGAATGATATATATTACATCACTTCCGCATTCAGCTGTCATTCTTTGGCTTCTGTAGCTGGAGAGAAGCTGTTGAAGCAGATCTCTGCTTCATCAGCTTCTTTGGAGGTCCCTAGGTGACATTGGGATTTTAGAGACACCTGATGTCTCCATGTAGAGGACCTGTCTGTGTAAATTTTTTATTGCCCCACACATGTTACATATCACCACGAACGAGTGAGAGAAATGATTCTAGGACCATCAATCACTGTTAACATTAAACTGATAAGTGGTAAACGCTTTGGCCAATTTTGGGTTTGGCAGTTTTTTGCGATTTCGCTGGTGCGCACAATTTTAAAGTTTGACATGTTTGGTGTCTGTTTACCTGTCGTGTATATATTTTACCAAAAATTTGGGTAAGAATAATTTTTTAACATAACGTAGGGAGAAAGTTTTGCTTTAAACATTTTTGGTACTATTTTTAATTATATAATAAAAATAAAAACCCCACTGGTGATTAAATACCACTAAAAGAAGGATCTATTTGTCCACAAAAAATGGTACACAATTCATTTCAGTACAGCGTTGGATGACTGAATAAATGACAGTCAAAGTACTGCAGCGCAGAATACTGAAAAATGGCATGGCCAAGAAGGGGGTGTAAACACCGGGGTCAGCAAGTGGTTAAAGGGAATATCACACAATTTATTGTAGAAAAATTATCAAATCCTTTAGTAAATCAGACTTGTTTTGGAAGAAGAAGAAAGAATTTGAAAATGTTAACACATTAAAATGTGTGAAGATGCATTTCAAATATCCAATGTCAATTGAGAACATATTCACACAATTTATTATGCGACCATTCTTAAATCCTGTAAATCAGCCTGATACTATCATATACTCAAAAAAAACTGAGAAAACAGATACTTGAATCACATATACTATATAGTGTGAGCAAAGTAACCAGTAACCAGAATTTACATTTTACTTACATAGTTACTGTACAGTGTAATTGGACTCAACCAATAATCATTGTTCTTTGATATTCCCTTTACATATGCTCATAAATGTTCCCATGGCCTAATAGGACTATATTTCATGTGCATTTTGTAAAAATAAGCTTAGACAATTATTAAAATTGGTGTCTTTTACCCATTCCCACTTCAACTGCACATAGCTTATTTTATTCACAAATATCACATGAAGAACGAAGGTAACAGTTGAAAAAGAAAAATGAGTAAATGTATCATGATATACATCAGATACTACTGCATCTTGGATTTTAGTTTTACATTTATTACAATATATCAAATTTTCGTATAACATTATATACATTTTATTGTATTTTTAAGGCTTATTGCTTTCTCATTAGTTGTAGACATACCAGTGTACTTATGGATGTTGAGATATAAAATACCTAAATGACACATTAAGATTCATTTTTGATACAACACAGAAATCATGGCACATTTGGGATCAAAAGTAAAAAGACATATTGTACAAGTTCAATATTATGCACCACAAGTCAAGTATAAATCTGAATAATGTCACACATGAAAATATTTAGTATACTGACTGATCCACCTTTGCAAGATAAATGTTAATTTTTTTCCCTAAAATTTATTTTGAAAATGCAACAAGGCTCAACATTTTTTCAAACATTTTTATAAACTTTTGAAATTGGTATAACAAGTGAATATGTGTAGCTTAAATAAATGCATTCCAGAATTTGTTGAAGAGTTGTGGAGTTCTTTGGAACTGGAGCAGTGTAGAATTAATGTGACACGGAGTTTATATGGAGTGTCTTCAGTGCATAGAGTGCTTTGGGGCAAAGTTGTAAAGCGGACTTGCCACACTGTTTCCATGTTCAATTCCACTGACAAGAGCAGTCCAGTGGCTCCTGTATGACATACATCACTTCAGTCCCATTTCCTGAGCAGTAGAGTGGCACTGTCAGATTCTGCACACCATTTTCCCGACAGCACTTACAGAATCTTATATGGCTATCAATGTTTACATTAAAGATTGTAGCTGACGGACATTTGCCATCACAAGAAGCCACGGTGATCTGTTAAATATAAAAATATGGATAGAATTTGAAATGTGCCATATCCAGTAATAGAAAAAAAAAAACGTTTCAAAATATATCACAAGTTAAAGTTAAAGAATCATACAAAAACTGTACTCAAATCAAGCCAACTCCAATATCCAAATCCATGTGGTACCTGACTTTGCAAATACAGTATGACTGCATCTTATTAAAAACAAATGGCCTATTTTTTTCTAATCTGATAATGTTTTGATGGATAAACAATAGAGAAGTCTGAGAGTTTGGGGGCAATGTCCCAATGTTCTTTGTTCTTTGTTCTTTGTTCTTTTAAGTTTAAATACTGTTACAAAAGTAATAAGGTCTGTGTCTTAAATTTAGGAACTGTAAGAGCTAGCAAGGCCAAAATACCACATGGCCCCCTTAATAATGTATAACCTGCCTGAAGTACGGATATTTGTTCCCTAGTTTCTACAATGCTTCAAATCCATCTCATTGCTTAACCTGTGACCTATGAGGAGTTTCATCCAAAAAAAAGAGATGAGATTTAGGTTCGGGATGAACAAGGATTTAGCCTGAACACAGCCCTATTTTCCACAAATTGACTAGTTTGCCCTCTCAAATTCATGACTGCTGTATGTAAACAGTCAGGAATCCTGGGATTCACCTCCTATAGACTTTTGTGAGGTTCAGTGCTAAGTTCAGTTTTGCTGACTTTCTGCTGGATTTGGCACACCCTAATCATGAAGGATTACTCCTGGGCTATAGTGTTCATACGTGGCTTGAAATAACAAGGCATTGTTTGTTCAGTGGTGCTTGGCCTAGGAATCCTGCTACAGTGTTCTACAACATAAACACCGTCTTTCCACATTGTGGTTACATGAGAAAATGCAATTACATGGTTCCACCTACAGTACAGACAGAGGCAAAAGATTAGTCTTTTTATTAAAGTTCATCTCTATGAAAAGGAAAAATCCCCCCACTGTGTACAAGGCACCCTTCAGTACCCTTACCTTCCCCATTCACTATTGTTTGCCCACTGCAGCCCCTGAAAACATCCTATGCAAATACTGACTATACCATATAGGTGATAACTGCACCCTGTTACACATGCCCCCTTGCCCTTTATGTCACAATGCTTCGGTATGGTAATAATTCACTCATGTACCAATCACTGCATTGAGGGAAATCAGGGCAGTGTGTGCATGCTCCCCATATCATAAAGTAAAGGGATTTCTCACCAGGCAGTTAGAATGCAAAGAAAGGCATTGCTACACAACATAATGGGAAGGGGGTTAGTGCTATAACTACACATTGTAGAAACGTTTATTTTTGTAAAGGAATAGGAACCTAAGTGGAACCAGTGGCCTAAACATTTTTTCCAATATGTGGAAAATGTTTTACATGTACATCTTGCATATACAACATAGAATATTTAGTTATGTCAACTTTGTCCACAACCATCCATATATAATTCAGAGATGATTATTGTAATAGTCTACTTACAGGGTTTTGACTAATGCAGTCACTTTTCCTTATGGTGGTTCTTACAGCCACTTTTTGGCAAATTTTTTCCTCCTTTGTGCCTGAAAAGCATAGGATGCATTACACTTTGCACTATATACGTAATATATGCTAATAATACAATAATCCTAAAAGTTTATAAGTTACTTACAGTAAAATAAAAACATGCATGTTAAAAACTCGTTTTGCCATCTTTCTCTCTGTTTACTTGCTTTTTTCTTTTCCTCCTACTTATTTAGAAGTTGTAAATTCAATGGTGGTTGTAATTGGTGGTTAGAATATTACATCACTGGCATAAGCATGGCTACAACTGCTTCATGTATTGTATAATACACACATCAAGCCATGCCTTGCATGAACCCTTAACATTTGTCAGTGTGAACTACATCCACTATTAAAAATCCTAAAGCAAACTATCAAAGAAAAAAAACAAAAAATACTGTACTAAAGATGTGTTAAGGTAGACCTCAGAATGGTTAGCCAAGGAGGCATGATCCAACCTGACGTAGAGTTTTTAACATAAACATGCACACTTGGATCCCTTACATCTGTATCTTTAGGCCTATAAAATGGGGAGGAAGAAGCACAACCAGGCCCCTCCTATATCAGGGGAAACAATAGTAACTGGGCAAGCATTCTGTCCTTTCCATCCAATCTTTCTGTACACGGCCAAATGACCACAGGTGTCTGTTGACTACAGATAGTTTGTTTGTCTGTTGACTACAGACAGTAAGATTGTTGCCAGATCAGTCCGATACCAGCCAAACTGAGCAACAAGTGTGGCCACCTCCAAGTGGAACTGTGCCAAGACTATATACATTATAGTATTTACATATTCTTAAGCAGCAGCAAAAAAAAGATTTAAAACAAACTATCCCTAACCTCTCTATATGCTTGTACTGTGAAGTTATTTATTCTCAAAGATCAATAGAAGGACTCTAAAGTCAAGAGTTTAAATTGTTCCTAATGCCTGTTCAGGATATGTAAATACTTGAGTAAGTTCAGGTTAATCAAATTAAGATGAGAAATGTCAACAATTTGTACTGTTACTAAAAAGCTACAAAATGCTCAGTAAAAAACACATGCAATTAAGAAACAATTTAACTTGATTTTAATATAAAGTGAACCTGTGAGGACAGACATGTAGGTGCTGTAATTGCAGGCTTGATTTTTACCCTGGATTCTCTACATAGAGAACCACCAACCTGGACAATCAAATAAGGGAAGTCTGAAAATTTACACTCATACCTCATGCTTTCTACAGGTCAGCAACTCACTAGTTGGTGAATCCAGGTTAAAAATGGTAGCTTAGGAATCTGCGTTTTTTTTTATGGAAGCCCACTATTTTTATCCTCACAGGTTCCCTTTAAAGCAGGCCAATACATAGCATAAATAAATAGGTTTAGAAAAAGATTTAGGGTTAATGTGTAGCCTATGTAATCGTTAACCATATCCATTTTAGTGGAATTGTTTGGTATTTTACCATTAGTGAGCAGCATATTCTTATGAAGTAAAACAAAGTAGAATATTCTACAAACCTTTACCAAAGTATTCATATTCATGTTATATAAAACTGTCTCTGGCTATACTAGTTCATGTTCTATAAGCCTATACACTGACTATCCTAGTGTATGCCCTAAAAACCTGTACCTGACTATTCTAGCTTCTTTTATAAACCTGTACCTGACTATCCTAGTTTATTTTGCTAAACCTAAACATGGCCATCCTAATGTTTGTTCATAAACCTGTACTTGACTATCCTAGTTTTTGTTCTATAACCCTAAAACTGACAATCCTGGTTTATGCAGCAATCCTGGTTGACTATCCTCGAAGCTGTTACTATATATAAACCTATTTCTGATATCCTAGCTCATGTTCTATAAACCAGTCCTGGTTACACTAACTCATGTTTTACAAACATGTTCCTGGCTTTCCTATTTATTGTCCATAAACCAGTGCCAATTATCCCAGCCAGGTACAAATTATTTGAACATAAACTGTGCAGGAATAGTGAACATCAACTAGTATAGTTAGGTACAGATTTAGAGAACATGAAAAAGGATAGTTAGGTACAGGTTTGGTGAACATGAACTAGGATTTAGTTAGAAAGAAGTAAATTAGAAAGTTTGAAAGTAGAAAGTAAACCTGTAGTTATACAACTGTACCAAACTATTATTGCTCATGTTCTTTAAACTTGTACCTGACTATTTTAGCTCATACCTGGTTATCCAATACTATGTTCTAAAAACCATTATCTGATCCTTGATAATGTTTTGTAAACCTGTACTTAACTATCCTAGTTCATTAAACCTATACTTGCTTTTTCTTAATCATGGTAATTTAATCTGTAGCTGACTTTTCTACCTCGTGTTCTGTAAAAATGTACCTGATTATCCTAGCTCATGTTCTAGAAACATGTACTTGACAACTATTCTAGCTCATGTTCAATTAGCCTGTACCTGACTTTCCTAGTTAATTTTCTATAACCCATCAGCTAACTTTTATAACATTCTATAAACCTGTACCTGACTATCCCTAGTTCATGTTCACTAAACCTGTACCTGACTATCCCTAGTTCATGTTCACTAAACCTGTACCTGACTATCCCTAGTTCATGTTCACTAAACCTGTAAATGACTATCCTACTTCATTTTCACTAAACCTGTGCCTGACTATCCTAGTTCATGTTCACTAAACCTGTACCTGGCTATCCTAGTTCATGTTCACTAAACCTATACCTGGCTATCCTAGTTCATGTTCACTAAACCTGTAAATGACTATCCTACTTCATTTTCACTTAACCTGTACCTGACTATCCTAGTTCATGTACACTAAACCTGTAAATGACTATACTAGTTAATTTTCACAAAACCTGTGCCTGACTATCCTAGTTCATGTTCACTAAACCTGTACCTGACTATCCTAGTTCATGTTCACTAAACTTGTAAATTACTATCCTACTTCATTTTCACTAAACCTGTACCTGACTATCCTAGTTCATGTTCACTAAACCTGTACCTGAGTATCTTAGTTCATGTTCATTAACCTCCCTGGCAGTATTCCCGAGTGTGGCTCGGGGTTAATTTTCAGTACCAAGAGCGGTAACCCCGAGCCAGACACGGGATTGCGCAAAAGTGTCCCTTACCTTGTCCCTTCGAGCCCGCGGTGTCCTCTGCTGTGTTCGCCCAGCCGATGCTGGCATTCGGCTTACAGTTTCATTTTCGGGCGTCACAGCGGGGGGCGGAGCCGGCGGGAAATTCAAAAGTGCAAACATGACATTTACACAGAATACACACAATACAATGTAATCTGCTATAATTACATATATTTATCAAACTATTTTACATCAATTTTGTCCCTAGAGGTTTGTCTAGTGCCCTGCCTGCACTTTTACTGTACTCTGTTGACTGTGGTACGGATCAGGCAGCGCCCCTAGAATTCCCATTTACTGGACCATTTTTTTATTATTATATTATAATTATGACTATCCTACTTCATGTTCACTAAACCTGTGCCTGACTATCCTACTTCATGTTCACTAAACCTGTACCTGACTATCCTACTTCATGTTCACTAAACCTGTACCTGACTATCCTACTTCATGTTCACTAAACCTGTGTCTGACTATCCTAGTTCGTGTTCACTAAACCTGTATCTAGCTATCCAAGTTCATGTTCAAATTAAACCTCTGTCTGACTAGCCTAGTTCGTGTTCACTAAACCTGTATCTAGTTATCCTAGTTAATGTTCACTATTCCTACACTATCTTAACTTATGTTTAAATAATTTGTACCTGGCTATCTTATCTCGTGTCCTATAAACTTCCATTTGACTGCTCTAGGTTATTGTTGGATAAACCTGTACCTGACTATTCCAGCTCATTGAAAAATGTAAAAAGCACACCATTTAAAACACTGCAAAAACTAGAATCAGAAAATGTAATTTGAACATCAAATTCAGCAATAATTAATAAAATTGTATATTTAGATGAAAACAACAAAACAGCATATATGGAGTATTTAGTTTTTTGGGAATACAAACATAACTCACACATGCTTTTAAAGATCAGCTCTTTTTAATTGCTCATGTCTGTACCTAGTCTCCAAATGACACATATTGATTAGGCCTCTTGCAATTGTTCTTGTTTTCTTACAGAAAGTAACACTTGCTAAATGCCTCCTTGAATTCCATGAATGAAGTTGATGACTCACTGTTTTTTACCACCTCTAATTAGTACAGTGATGGGATAGAAAGTTCATATCCTTAGAGGTCGTTCAACGGGCAGGTTTGCAGCCCATTACATACCAAAATACCATGTTTAGTGATGCACGCAGCAAACTTAATTGATTTATTGTTTGTTTTAATTATACACATTCCTTTGGCTTTTAAGGTGATTGAAATATAATAGTAAAAAGAGCCAGAATCCAACAAAAGGTAGATCACTGTGTTACATTAACATCTTGACAGAGGAATAGAAAATATAAATGTTGTAGGTAATTGTAGATATTGGCGTTTCTATGAAATTCTGAGATATTTTTTTTTACATTTAAAAGCTTTCTGAGGAATGTAGATCAATAGTGTATAGATGAAATATAAATTATATGATATGATAAAACTAAAGTAAAACATTAATTTTTTTTAAATGAAATTGGCACTGATATAATTTACACCTATAAACTACTTGATAATATAAGAATGTTTAAGATGACTATTTCTAGACAAAGGAATATACATTTTTAATGATGTAGGAACTTGTAAATATTGGCGCTTCCCAGAACTTATGATTTTTTACTTTTGTTTTACAATTACTGCACATTCAAAGTATTTCTGTTACTTGTAGGTGGGCACTGTATAACTGTAGATGATATGATTTGAGAAAAAGAAAAAAATTAAATGTTTATTTTATCAGATTGGTGTCAATCCTATGTACACCTAAAAACTGAACTTAGGATTTGAGAATGTTTAAGATTACTCTAGAACTTTCAGGTCACTCCAATCTAGTGCTGCAGTCTATCCAGTGTTGCACACTGATGCATATGTACTCTCACAAATCCTCATGGAAATTGATAAATGAAGGAAAAAAACAAATATTAAAACTCACAGGCTAACTATCAACACATCACAGATTCTTATTTATAATTTTTATGCAGTGCTTTAGAACACACAGGTCTTTCTTAAAGGCATAATTGGGTTCATTTTCATCATCGCTGCATCTAAACAAAATGCTCAATGGCTGTAAGCCATTTTCAAATCTTTACTGTGACAAGCACATACATTATATAATTCAAATAAATTCAAGACATATTTGGAAAAACCACCTTATGGATTACTTATTAATCTGTTGAGAGCATTAACACTTGAAAATTATTTAAATTCCAATATCAATTTAAATGCTTGAAAAATGTAGAAAAGACAGTACTGTAAGGGATGCAAACGATCCAAACATAGCTTAAGAAATATTAAGGTTGATTTACTAAAGCAGTAGAGACTGTTTACTTAGCAAAGTGAAGGCTCACTTAATGTACCCTGTTGCTACAGTAAAAAAAATGTAAACACCAGTATCCTGTAAAAAAAAAGAGTAGCAGTGACATAACAGTTGCCAAGAGAAACCACAGCACACAGAGGACTGGGTATCTAAAGTGTTTCTATATTTGTGGTGTCCAAAACTCTTCTAGTGAAAAGCTGCCTGCCAGAAAGCTAAGTATGGAATCTCTTGTTTTACAGTGTGTTTGTTTTTTCAGTGTACTGACAGGGTCCCTTTAACTTACATTATGTTTACTTTGAATAACCAGTCAGGTGCAGAGTAATTAAAAGAAAAGATTTAGTCTAGCAGATGATTGGCTTATTGGCATAAACACAACTTTACTGTATTCTCTATTACTTATGTAAATTAACCCCGTTGTACCCTGGCTGCTGCACCAGCCTGAAATAATAAAGGTCTGGTGAATATACCTTGTCATACTAACTCCATGTTTTAGGCTTTTTGTTGCATATTAATTCTGTCCTGGCTCTTTTACCAAGAGGAGTACAATTTCTGGCAGGTAAAACCCAAGTTTATTTTGCTGAAAGCTAACATAGTATTAATGTGAAACATGATATTTTGTACATCTATTATCATTTTGAATTTACATTTAGCTACATGGAACACTTGATATTTTTACAATCATACTATGGGTATGATTTGCAGCTAAATTCTCTTTGATTGTGACCATACTGAGTTACAATAGGTAATTATGCTGTAAAATGATTATCAGACAACATGCAGTAATAAGTAGAAAACAAAATGTATGCAGAGATTGTAACTGCATGCATGACCATTTTCATTTTTTTTGATTTGGTGGTATATCAGTTTTTGCAGCAAACATCCATAAAATAGTATTTTGGGTTTGTGATTACCAACCCTTTAAATTTGTATGGAAATTGACAGTACTTCTTTAGGCAAAAAGCACAAAGCTTAAGGCACGTACCACTATAAAATCAGTCATTACAGTTAGTAACGTACAGTAAAATGCATGAAATAATAATAGTACCTGGTTCACAATTTATTTTAGCAGTAGGAACTACGGGGGTAATGGTAAAGGGTAATACACCCATTCCAGAACCTGGCAGAATTGTTAGGGATATAAGATTTTTGTACAAATTAAACATTTTGACACATATAACATGTTCATTAATTCTTACACTGCCAAGTATTCATCTTTATAATTATCTGTTTCATTTTATGTCAAGCAAAGTTCTTTTCTTTTTTTTTAAGGTCAAAGAATCACACCAGAAGTTCCTCACTTACATCTGGAGCCATCTTAATAAATAAAACTTCACAATTTTTTAGCAAAATGCTTATGGCAAGGTAAGAATTAAATACATGAACTCACTCTGCATGCATTTAATCAAAGCTTTATTGTTTCTTGCCCAATACAACTCTTACAGCTGCTGCAAACCCACATTCTTACATGTGATGGCCTACCCACCGAGCACATGCTTTTAGTTATTATTTGAATTAGCTGTTAAAGTAGCATGTTACAGAGACATGTTTAAGTTTGAAAGTAGCTTTTCTTCTGAAGTATAACCTTGCCTTTCTAGAGCTGTTTTGCCAGTATTTTTTTTATTGGCAATGATTTATAGTTTGCAACTGCAGTGATTGCTTAAGATTTAAGCAATAATCTAAAAAAGTGGAATTTACTAAAGGAGTACATTTTTCATTTATCTAAGTTAACCTGGGTTAAAGTGTATCTAAACCCAAGAACAAAAATTTTATGTATTGCAGCTTGTTTTATGTGGTGGCTGCATTAGTTTTCCTTTATCAGGCTCTTTTCCTTTATTTTGATCCTCCCAGTAACATACTAAAGTAACGCTCACACACTGTATTGTATCCACAGAGGAGCAGCACTTCCACACTAGGCAACAGAGGTGTACAGGACAGGGCTGATAATATTGCTTTAGATAAGACTGTGGAGTGCACACATAAGTTCACTGGATTTCTGTCAGGATCAACAATATTTCTATCATTTTTTTTCTTACTTATCAAATATAACAAAACACTTTCAATGGAATATTTAACAGAACAAACGTGGGCAAAAAAAATGATTTTTATTGTTAGGGTTTACATACACTTTAACTTTAAAAAACAAATAATTTGCTTAGAAATTAAAAAGTAAATTGGGATTTTCTGTGCACATGATTTGATGACTGTAAATACAGTTTTACTTAACTAAATAAAAATGGAGTACTACTTTAGTTAATCAACACAATTAAACAAAAAACAAATGTGATATATTATTCACATTGTTTTTAAATGTGCACAATAATGGTCTGCATAAAGAACATTCTAAAAGCTTTATGTAATGGAATGTAATTATATTTAGACTGGGGTTTATACGTTTATTCTCTGTACTGGTTATTTAACCAAACATTAAATACAAAACCGTAAAATAAATAATTTCATATAGAACACCATTTATTTATGCGTTAAACAACATCGCCAGTATGGTGGACTTCCATAAAAGTGAATTAGGTCCATAATGAAGTTAAAGTTAATAAACAAAATGCCACTAAAAGAAGAAAATAAATGTAAAATAGAATCTTGTTAGTAAGTTTAAAGGCTACTTTCAAAATGTCCTCCTATGAAAAAATAGTTGAACATTTTGCTTTAATAACCATTAAAGGAGAACTATGAGGCGAGTGAAAATCACTCAGCCTCATAGTTTAAGCCGATGTGTGGCAATGAAACTGTCATACGTCGGCTCAATAGATCGGGAAGTGAGCGAACATATACCGTCACTTGCTCACTTCTCGATCCTGTCCCTGCAGAGAGCCGTGACTTCCACTCACGGCTCCCTGCAGGGATTCCTCCCTCCCCGCTCCGATCCTCTAGCGCTGACTGGCAGAATGGAAGGGGGAGGGGGCGGGTTCAGCTGGCTCTGCCTCTATATAGGCAGAGCCAGCTGTCAATCACGCAGCTGGGTTGATCTCGACAGTAATGTCGGGATCCGTCCCGTCTCCGGAGGTCTCAGTATACCGCGAGCCGTAGCTCGCGGTATACTGAGCTTTTGTTCACGGGAGGACGCCAGTTTGTGTTCTCCCGTGACTCTGGGGAGAACTATGGGGAAAAGCACTGACCCCCATAGTTTTCCTTTAAAGTTAAAATGTCCAATTAAACTATTTGTTATATCAATCTTTGACACTGATTGAGGATTAGTTTTACATAGCTGTCCATTTTGCTTTTATTAAAAATAATGTCAAGCAGATTGCTTAGCTCTCACCACAATTTATCATCACTGAATCCTTTCTTCACTCTTATAGAATTAACCCTACATATACCAATTATTGTCAGACTGCTCAAGTCAAGGGGTTTTAAAGGGATAATTGGCTACTATAGTATATTTTAAATGACATATAGTCCATGATACATGGCTCCAGCTGCACTGATAGATGGCTCCTGTTTTAGAGTGTGATACTTTATGTGTGTGTGTGGTACCCTATACTTGCAGGATCACATTTGACAGAAAATAGGATGTCAGATATTTTACACCATATTATATATTTTTTTACTTACAAAGAATACCTGTAACCTGCCATATGCAAGTCCTTAGGGTAGCTCAAACCTTAGTTTTACAACATTTTAAATCACAGGTATGTAATTTCAGATCAATCATTCTATTATCTTAACATTTAAATTCATAATATGCTATATTACTTGTGTCATGTATTATATGTCTGATGTTATTGAGGAAGGACCATGAAGATTTGTTTACACAAGTGCCATGTGCACCGTGGTATAGCAGGGGAGAAGTTGAGGGTATCCATTACCAAAAATGAGTGCTGCAGCCAGGAAAGGCCTGTGCGATGCTGCAATCTCCATCTATTCAAGTGTGCAGAACATAAAATCACTAATGCCCATTGAGCTATTACAATGTTTAGGTCTCATTGTTTGGGGAGCTCTCCTTGAGCATTTAGAAATTGCTGCCTTTTAGATGTCTATGTGTATGGGTTATTCTTAGTTTAATGTCCTATAAGCATGTGAAAATAAGATGATGATTCTAAATTATTTCATTACATAATGTGTATTTTCACATCAGCAGCACATGTCCTATACAAATGTAAAAATAAGATGGTGTTTCTGCATAATGTGTATTTTCACATCAGCAGCAAATGTGGTGGATTTTTTTCTTGCGAACAAACATGTCTTACATATTACATTGTGTATTTATTACTCTTTTCTTATATTTGTCTTTGGTGCTTTAAAGTTATACTCCAGAATGATGAGGAAGTTAAAATCATTCACCAAGTAGTCAGCCATGAAAAAAGCAGGGCCTGTGAGTTTTAGTGGTTAAAGAAGGACAACCTGATTGGGGCGGCCAGTGCATGCGTTTCCCTTCCTTATGACCCAGCAGGTGAGTTAAATGAACCAGAGCTCTCCAAAACAAAGCAGAAACTAGCATAGAATGCAGCTTAGTGCACTTACATATCTTGCAGCAGCCATCATTGTATGTCTGTACAGATCCGCCATTCTAAAACAAAACGAAAATACCAATCAAAAAATAATGTGCTCAACATTTTTCATTCAGCAAACCCGTGACTTCATGAAGGTTAATCTATATCATTCTTGTAATAAATTGGATTGTAACCTATTTTATCAAATAGACAACCTAGACATCTGTATAGCTTCTTATGTTTAATGAATTGCACTATTAAGCCTCTGCTATCCTCTGTGTTACATCTTTCTGAATTCCAATGGAACTTATCAAGATTTACAAGCCTACATTTTCCCACCAAAATACCACTATATTATACAGTGCTCAAGCCATTCTTACCATATGCTGTTAATGCTGTGTCATTGTTTAAAATAAAGGATATCACTGAAGCAACAAAATTAAAATACATTTTTGAAGAAACCAAAAGGTTATAAACTTCCTATTTCACCTTAAAGGTTTTGATTGGTCCAGACTACAGTCCATTACAGAGGCCTATGACTGCCCAGGGTCATGAGAGACCCAGGAGCATAAGCAATTATAGACAAAAGCAGAGAGCATCTCTTACTTCTGGAACACATAAAATCATAATATCACATTTCAGATACATGAGGGCCGAGTATGTGAATGAGCCTTCAGCCTATTGTATTACATGATTATTATATAAAGCTCCCAGTGGCACATAATATTTACTTGCAGAAATATTAATACATTTTTTTTCAGGAGAAGGAAGTCACACCATTACTATTGTGTCAGATCAGAAAGCTGTAGGACCACCCTGGATATCTATGTTAACATTATTAGTTATTTTTTTTATATTAAACATGACAATCTGGCTGCACTATCATGGCAAGTCAGCCCCATCAGCCTTTGACCACATGGTATTTCTGAACAGACATTTAAGACTACTGCAGGGGCACTATAGGTTCAATTTGTTAAGGCTACTTGGAGCTTAGAGCGGTCTTAAGACGAATAAGTGTGTAAATGGCACAAAATTATAGATTCAGCACCTTTGGGAATAATCAAATGCACAACATGCCTTCCAATGAAAAAATGTACAAATATGTTTATTACTATCAAACTATTACACTGGAGAAAGTGCACCCCTCTAAAATTATGAAATAAACACATGTTGTAGTTACTAAATAATTGCACTGCTTCATTTAGCTAGTAAATCATGCAAATATTTATCTTTGACAACACAAACCTTTAGACATTCACTGTCATTAAAAGGAGGGCAGACAACGCTAGAGCCCACTATCATGGCACCTACTGTAGTCTTTGTGCACTCGTACTTGGTGCAGTTAGAAATCCATGAGTTGCCCACCTAAAAAACAAGTCAGTCTTTATAAAGGACATTAAGGAGTGCCCCATTTAAAGTTGTTTTGGAAACAGAATATCAATACACATGCAAATATATCAATTCAGTTTAAAATCAAATCCAAGTTGATTTGTGGATAGCAGGATATTGAATCCTAGCCAAACTGCCTGCCCATCACCCAGACCCAATTTCTTATATCATTATTTTTCAATGTATACATTTTAGACAATATTTTACTTAATTTAATACCAACCCCCCCCCCCCCCCCATCCCATCCCAAATGCTCTTCACCATCAGGTGTATGGGTGGCTAAATAAAATGGTTCACTCTCAACAAACAGTAATTAGTTCATTACAATAAGGACATATCAGGTTTAGCATTTAAAGCCAAATTGAACTTTGAGTTTAAATGAGATAAATACATTGCGTATGCATTAAAACACAAGGAGTACAAAGTCTGACAGTTTGTTTTCTTTAAATATCAGCTACAGCCAAAGTTGAAAAGTCTGTTCCCTGTCAGCACACTGTGGAGTGAGACTCTCTGTGGGGAAGCGGTAATCTCTTTGTAGAGGTCTGATATACTTCCTGCAGAGTCAGAGCCGTGGCTCTTCAAATAGTGGAGAGTATGAGCTCTTCTTATTAGGGAGTAATGGGCATGACATAGAAGGGTGTGTGTTGTAACTCTGCATTGAGTGATTCTTCGCTACCAAAAGCAAATTCTTAACATATATTTTAATATTTTTTAATGGTTTAACCTTCCCTTGTTATATATGAATATGACACACAGATTTCAAAATTGGAATCTCTACCACATTGCAAAAATAATAATAAAAAAAGAAGCCTGGTCTGTTTGCTATGTTTCACCATGTCATTTTATAATCTTGCTCCCTTTCATAAATGCCCCTTTAACTGATTTAGTATAATTTGTCTATATTACATTTAAGTTCAAATATAACTGACACAGCATTCATATACGAAGCAAAAGCTGAAAACATGGCGGGTTTAACAATAGGCTTACCTCATATATAGTCATTGTACCATTATCACTGTAGAAGGTGCATGAAATATTCTTGCAGGACCCACAGCAAATCTGATTGTTGAAAGATTGAATATAAACCTGGTTCTGTGAAAGAAAAAAAAAATTATAATCGATTTTAAGTTAATTGTTACGGAGATCCTTATCCAATGTTGAAGCTCTTCCCCCTCCATTATATATACTACCTATATTATTATTTTCATCCATGATTTTGAGTGTGGCTGGGTCTTAGTGGTTACAGTTGATTAATAATAACAGGAAATGACATAGTCACAATGTAATTTGTTGTTTATGGAGTCCCATGGCTCTAACAGTCATAAAAGTGTGGGAGCATTTAAATATGATGAACATGAGTGGAGCATATTGTAGCTAGGCATTCTGAATCTAAATCTAAAAAACACTCCTCCCATGAACAAATCTCATCCCATAAAGGTCTTTTTATTGTGTGTTTAAAGTGTCAGAAGGATGATATATTGACCAGTACAGGTCCAGACTCCATAATCCTAAATTAGGCCTGACATTAGCAACAAAGTTCTAGATGACTGGTTTAGGAGATCATCTACTTGGCATTAACAGCCCTCCCAGCTTTAGTAAATAAGACATTGTTTATCAAAAAAAGGGGGGAAAGAGAAAGAAAGGGGCTTTGTGGTGACCACTGGAGAATAGCAGGGAATTGATCCAACAATAAAGTCAATTGATTCATATATATAATAAAATTCCATTTTTAATATACTCAATTCATAATGTCTATACATATAAATATGCTAAAACTCATCCATATAAAAAAACCATAAATAGATGTATACAACATAAATAACCTCCCTGGAACCCACACAGAAACCATGATTATAAATTCATATATTGGTCATTGCCCTCATTGTATTCATATCTTATTTGCATGATTAATTGTACATAATTGTTCTATATATCATTAGTTCAGCCATGATTTTGTGCTTGCTCCAGTCTTCAACGCGTTTCGCCGAGGCTTCGTCAGGAAGATTTGGAGGTTATTTTTTTTATATGGATGAATTTTAGCATATTTATATGTATAGACATTATGAATTGAGTATATTAAAAATGGAATTTTATTATATATATGAATCAATTGACTTTATTGTTGGATCAATTCACTGCTATTCTCCAGTGGTCACCACAAAGCCCCTTTCTTTCTCTTTCCCCCTTTTTTTGATATATACTGCATATATAGGGGTGGTGTCCCAGTTTGTGTGATGGTTCCTGGGTCTTACAAAAATAAGACAATGTTACCAGGTTGTGTTTTGGAGATCGAAACAACTCTGCCACTAGAAAGTGTAGAAGTCTGTTAAAGGACAGGTTCACTTTGATATTTCCCAGCAACCCCATGAAAGAATAAATAAAATCAATAACAATGTCCACATGAAACTAACAACTTAGTAGCAGAGATCTGTAGTTGCTACAAAACTCTGTTTATTTCTCTGGTGATTCTAGCTACTGTGATATAGCTAGTTATGATTCTTTTCTATGCACCTACAAACTGAAGCTGTTCAGTGATAACTAGCAGTTGCATTTATTAACATGAGTGATTGAAATTGACAAATTGGTAGAATGACTGCAAAAAAAACCTTTCACTGGTTGCAATTCATATATTACTAGCATTAAAAACTCTAAAGAAAAGTGATTTTGTAGCTGTTACAAAATTGCTTGTATAACATGACTCTAACACTAAGCTAATTTCCCATTCCCCCTGTCGCCTGCTGCAATGCATCATATAATGCTGTCAAATTCTCACCTTACCATAGCACCTAACTCTCTTCATCCACCAACACTAGAGCACAGACACATGAGTCACATTGGAACCATCAGATTGTGATGTTTATGCAGATCCAACCAATCAGTAGCTCTGATTAAACACAGATCCTGTCTTTTGGCAGAGTCCACATTCTCCTGTCATGGCTGTGTGCCAGTGCTACCACATAGGGGCCCCAGTGCTGTTTTTTTAGGTAAGTACCTGACAGCCTTGTATGTTAAACCATGTAATAGGGTAGCAAAGTGGAGGCAAAGGCAATTTTTTCTTAGTCTTAGAGTAAAATTTACATCTGCTTTAACTTCTGAGTGTGCCCAGATTTTTAAATATATTAATACTTACAGCAGCGCATTGTGTTGAACAGTTCACCATTAATATTTCCATGGCATAAAATCCAGTTGTGTGATTCTTTTCATGTAAGCATTCAACAGTGTAGCACATTTCCCCATTCAAATAATGAATCAGAGACTGGCCAGGACGCAACACTGTAACTCCCTGAAATACACACACTTCTTCTTTCTCTAAAAATATTAAAAAAGTAAACATGTCGAACATGAATATTACAAGTTGCAATATTTGAGCATATCATATCACATTGAGCATATCATATAATATTTGAGCATAGCATATCTCTAACATACATTATTAATTAGTATGTCCTCGTGTTTCTATTCCTTTTTCCATCATATCATTTTCTTTGATATTTTTATAAGTGCTAATATCATTTTAAGTATAACTACTCTTTTACCCCCAAACATTTCAGCATAGTGACATACCTTCCAACTGTTCCTCATTTGCCCCTCATATTGGTCTGATGTTCAGATATCCAGGATAATGTACTATTTAATTACCAAAAGTGTTATCCGCACTAGAACCTTTATTTTATGACTAAATTATATTAAAGTGCATCAAGTCAAAAACATATTTTTTTTATTTTCAGATATAGCAGGGAAGGATTAGAACACCTGTGGGGTCAGAGGCCATACCTCTGACGCAGCCATCTCTGACTGGTGAAACCGGTCAGGTCTTTGGCCATGCTGGGCCAGTTGTGGATTTTTGACTGGGGACTTGCTCAATGATCCGGATCATAGACAACTTGACTATATGATGAGTATATTATTATCCATTAAAACACTAATGGAATGTACTTGCCTTATGAAACTTTGACATTACAAATGTTATATGTGGATATAGTGGATATAGTGAATGGTTAATGAGTGACAGATTTGGATAGCTGTTGGATATGGCATTATGTGATTTATGTCTTTAGGGTCAAGCGTGATAATATGTATTTGCTCCTCACTTACCTTTGACGGACATTTACTCTTGGCAGAAGTTACTAGCAGAAATCTACTGCTGGCGGATGCTGGATCAAGTATGACATATGTATGGACATTCTTTGGTGTGAGCAAACATACCAATAGAACGAATTGGACTGTCATGTCAGTTTTATTCATACGACGACAAACACCTATATATCTGAACTATGAGAAATGTATTAGCTGGTTGAAACAGAGTGGAACCACCCAGCTTGTGACCATTGTTTAACTTCTTACCCCTCTCTCTCCATCCTTCAAATCTACAGATATGATTGACAGGAATATACATTTAAGCCAATGAAAGATGTGCATATATAGAAAAACTCTGCAATATTCTAGTTGAAATTGTTTAAAGGAGCCCTTCCCCATTCAACAAACATTAATAAAAAGACATGTAGAATATATACACGATATTCAACCCACAGAGGTCTTTTTAAATTAATTGCCATGGTTTTTAAAGGGATTGTTGTGTCAATGTGATTGTTTGTGATTTTGTTTTGTTGCTTTATGATGTTTATTTTGTAATAAATGTGTTTATAGGTTAGCACAGTGGTCATATTTAATGATAAATTTACAGTGATATAATTTAAATGAGTTGAAGTTAAAAGGTTTGTTGAGTCCCATGAACTGGTGCAATTTTTCCGGAAAAAAAATAGATTCCTACAGGGGACTCAGAACCATTTGTGTGCTCTGAAGTCATCAGGCATCAAGCTGGGTTGTGAGTCTTTATTGCTATCTTGGGCTCCACTAGAGAGATTTACTCTTACTTCCTGTCCTGCTGACAACAGTTTCACCAAACAGAAACTTTAAAAAAATCTAACAGAGGTTCTAAGCCTCCCCCCGACTCTAATAAAGAAATAATTTCTGTGTTGTTTTTGGAGATTTCCAATCAATTTCTGTCTTGTAAAATGTTGTCAGCAGAACAGGAAATAAGTGCAAACCTCTCTAACGGAGCCCCAGATAGCAGTAAAGCTGACAGGAGTTCTAAACCTTTCTCTGTTCTATTTTTCTTTCTATACACAACTAGGAAAAAGTTTCAGCTGGACATACACTTTAACAACATTAAAGTGATATTAAAGTCAAAATGTTTTTAATCTATTGCAAATGCTGATAAAATCACTTACGATAGATGCTGCTGCTTGATGTTTAAAGGTTTTAGCAGCAGAATCAGCTGATCCCCGAGGGCATTGGCCCTGATATCCTGTTTTAGGGTGGCTCCTTTTCCTTGCAGGGTCCTAAGGAGCCATCGTTGTGTGTACTAGTAAGCTGTGTGTGTCTCCACAAACACACACCAAGGCAAGCCCCTCTTCCCTGCTCCACTCACCTCCTTCACCGTTCTCTAAGCTAGTAGATGGACAGCTGCTGGAGACGGTGCTATCCCTTGTAATAATCGGCACTGGACAGGAGGTTCTGGGAAAGTGAGCTGAGAGAGTTGGAGCCAGTTGTTCAGAAACATGATGACTGTCAGTGCTTGGGCAAAAATGTAAATAAATATTTTGCTGTACAATGTATATTTCTTTGATCTGGATTCATTATTGAAAGAAAATTGAGATTTGAATACTACTTTAACCCTAATGTTAACAAACAGTAAGCCTAACCCTTTTTACTTTTCCAACCATAATACGAAGTACCTTACCCTAATTCTGGCACAACATTTTGCCATTGGAAACAATTGTGCTTGGGCAAAATTTGCTTGCAAAAAAAAAATCGTTTTAGAGGAGCATGTGTTTAGGGCAGTTTAATTCACAGGGTTCTATTTAAAAATGTTTATAACACAAGTTACAAACAACTTTCATCTAGGATTCATAAAACAAATTTCAATTGAATCCAATTAGAAATTTTTTTCAATATTAAGTTAACTTTCTGTGCATCTTTTATGAAAAAAAAATATAAATAGCCCCAATAGTGTTCATTTTATTTGTGTTTTTGTGCATTTGATTCCTGCATACTGTTGTTTTTTGGCCTTTTTTTTCTTACTTTTTTTGTATTTGAAAAAAAAAACGTACAATAAGGAGGCTAATGAGGGTCTTACGAACAGGTTCAGGATAGTTGAAAGGAGCATCTGTAACCCTCAGAAACCATTAAAAGCCTATTGCCCACTACAACCACCATAAACCACCTTAAAGGTGATCCTGAGTAGTTTTGCCACTCTCATGTAGGCTATGTCTCCCTGCACTGCAGTGAGATAAAATGATGCTGCAAAGGGTGCTGATATTAGCATTGTTACTGCTAATTCACAAGTCTTAGGGCCAGTTCACACCAACGGTGCGTTCCAGAGTGGTAGCTGCTGGAGCGCATTGTAATTGCACAGTAAACTCCCCCCTTTGTTCTGGGGCGGGAGGGGGTGTGGTGGTGCATTGAAGTCAATGGCGCTGCAGTCATTGCATGAGAAACAGCTAACTTATTTGGCTGGTGTGAATCTTTACATCTGGGCTGCAGAGCTCAATATATATGTTTACTGGCTGCTCAATCACCTACCCTGATTTTTGTATTGCTCTCACACAAAGCAAAATGAATTAAAGTAAATCAAATACCACAAATATAGTGAGTACATCCACAAGCACTGAGCCAATCTGTATCATTCTTCCGATATTCTCCCTGTATGAAGAAACATTTTTTTTTTAAATTTTATTAAATATTCACATTTAATATTGTATTACCATGAACATAATAATTGTGTTCTTTATAATGCGTCCTGTATTATGAAACAGTATCATTTAAGATATAGATTACGATTGAAATAAAAGCACACACAAGTAGTCACAGAATTGATTTACTAAAGGGAATTTTCACTTTGCAGAGGAATTTGTCCTTAGCTTTATGAATGTGGTGAAGCTCTGTTAACTTCCACAATCCAATCATGTGCAGGCAAAAATACTATTTTCCCTTGCAAATGATTGGGTATTGTTTGCAAAGTGATTTTTTTAACACATTTGCTAAGCTATGGGAAAATTCCCATGCAAAGTGAACAGCCTACTTGCCCTTAGTAAATCAACCCCATTAGGTTTTGAATGTGTCCTTTAAACTTGACATATAGAAATAGAAATACATGTATGTGATAAGTAAATGCATGAATAAGTATAAATATATTTAATATACTGATAATGCTCAATATAAAATGTTCACCTGTGAAGCACATAGTTTAATCTAAAATGTATCCTTATAATGAAATTCTAACATGATCTGGTACAGGAAATTTAGAATTGTGTTTTTATGTAAAAACTGAAGTTCAGGTAAACAGCTAAACATGCAGTTGAAACACACCCACCTATGTGGCAAATGGATAGTAATTCTGTCCTGCAAGGATAGAACACCAAATTATAGAATATGGCACCGCATTGCTCATGTGCCAACAAGGAGTATACTGATGATAGGAGGAGAGCAGAGTGACAGAGATTAGCTCACCAGTATGCTGCTGCTCATTTAACCACAGCTGTGTGGTGTGGCAGAGCTGTATAAATCTTAGGACTGGTAGGACAGAAATACAATTCTTTTGGCAGGCAAAACAGCTGCCAAAATATATATGTTATCTGTATATTTAGCTGTTTGCATGGAGTTGAGCTTTAAAATAACCACTCAAATTACATAGCAGTGCAACTGCAGCAGGTTTGTAAACTATAAATTCCAAGCTATACTATAAAAGATATATTCTTACCAAGGAACACTTCACATTGGTCACATTTCCACAGTCACATTCTGTAATAAAGTGAGAGTCAATTGGTAAATTTGGGTAAATATCCTAGGCAAAGTGTGCATACAGCATAAATATTTTGGATGTTTTACAGGCCTCATTCATCTCCTGCAAGTAGGAGGTGCTCTATAATCCAATGACAGCTACCACTGCCCCCAGCAGTTTCCAAGTGGTTTGCAAGTATTTGCACAGCCTGCCTAAACCTGAAGGTGACCGCACCTGGACGCAGACCGCAGGAGGTCACATGAGGTTCACAGAAAGATTCCTCCAATCAGCCCCATTCATAGGTGTGACTAGGGCCTAAGGTGATTTATTTATGTCTGAGACACGGTGATTTACCATTCTGTACTAAGTGCCAAAGATATGTACATTGCAACATTGCAATACTAACAGTACTATGACTATAGTTATATTCATTAGCTTGTTTTCAAAATAAATATTTGTATATATAATCTATACATATAGACCACTGTTACTAAGCTAATTTAGACTTTGCACACAAGTCACACGTGCTTGTAAAAGGAAAACAATACTATAGTAATCAGTCTATTGTATATGATTCTTTCATATATTTTAGGTAAGAACAGCACAAATAGAGAAAGTAGTTTTCAGCATTAAGATGAGCAAATAAATCTCTCGGGTTTGAGATCCAGAATCCAAACCCACCACACCTCGCTGGACTGAATATGAGTGAGGTCTATCACATAGGCAGCCTAACAGCCAAATCAAAGAGTGCACATGGTAGTCTGACAACACTGCTTTTGACAGATAGAGGGTTAGCGTTGTCAGGCTGCAACAGGGAGTGCTGTTAATGGCATTAGGTATGTATGTAACAGATTCACAAAATATAATTGGCTTAGGAAAACTGCAAATAGTGAGGTGTAATGCCAAACATACTGAAAAACAGATATGGGGTTCATATAAGTGTATTTATAGAAGTCATAAATCAGTGAATTTGACTTTCACCCAACAGTCACTGGTAGTGAATCAATAACATTCAGTTAAAACACATACACCTAGAATATGCACCTGTAGTGGAGGTTTAGTGAATGTCAGATTCACTGCTTTACATATATATTGTGCGTTTTTCATCGTGGCCTTGCAGCATTTAAGATTTGAACTCAACAACCACTATCGGTGTGGATTTTTATATGTTCTGGCCGTGTGGGCTTCTACCAGTTGATCCAGATTGCTTTCACCATCAGCTTGCACCTCAATGAGACTTAGCTTGTATGTGTGTGCATTATGGTAGGAATTTAAAATTGTTAGATCCTGTGGGGTCAAGGGCTGCTATGAATTTTGCCTTTGGAATATTTCAGAGCTATATAAATGTCTAGTGAATAAATGTAAGTTGTGATATATACTGTATGTATGTATGTATATATATATATATA